TTCCAGTCCTCTACAATCCTTCCTGACTCTAGTGATTCCTGAAAGATCACCACCAATGCCTCTACAATCTCCTCAGTTACTTCCTTCAGAATTCTGACGTGTCTATCTGGTCCAGGTGGTATATCCATGTTCGGACCGTGGGAGAAATTGAAAAAGTACTTTGCATCATGTTTGAATTCGCCAGTAGCATAACAGAACCTCAACACCTTTCACTTCCCCAGCACCTTCTCTTTAGTGACGTCCATTACACTTACCCGGCCCCTGATTGTCTTGAGGTTCTGGTATGCTACTGGCATCTTCAAACGTGATGCAAAGTACCTTTTCAATTTCTCCCACGGCATTTCTTTGATCCCCATTATACTTCTCCAGCCCCATTTTCTAGCAGTCCAATGTCTATTCTTGTTTCTCTCTTAACTTTTAGATTTCTAAAAAAAACTCTTGCAATCTTCTTTTATATTACTCGCTAACCTAATGTCTTCTTTTATTTTTTCCCTGTTTACTTGTTTTTTTAAGTTATCCTCTGCTGGTTTATAAAAACTTCCCAATCCTCTGGCTTTCCACATGAATCTTCACTGCATTGTATGCTTTTTCTTTTGCTTTTATGCTGTCCCTGATTTCTCTTGTCAGCCATGGTTGCCTCATCCTCCCCTTAGTATGCTTCTTCTTCCCTGGGATGAATTTCTTCTGTTCCTCCTGAATTAACCGTGGAAACTCCTGCCATTGCTGCTCTCCTGTCTTCCCTGCAAGTGTCCTTTCCAAGTCAACTCTGGCCAGTTCTTCCCTCATGTCCTTGTAGTTACCTTTACTCAACTGCAATACCATTTGTCACTGTTATTTTCTCATAAAAGAAAATTTGGACACATTGATTTCCATCCCATCATCTAAATGATTAATTAAATACCATGAAAGGTTAATCACACAATACAAATCCGTGTGGGACATCACTCGTCACATGCTGATCATGTCAGAGTCATACAGCACAGGGACAGACCCTTCTGCCCAACTCATCCATGTTGACAGGTTTCTTAAGTTGAACTAGTCCCATTTGGCCCATATCCCTCTAAACCTTTCCTGTTTGTGTACCTGTCCAAATGTCTTTTAAATGTAATTGTACCAGCCTCGAACACTTCCTCTAGTAGCTCGTTCCATTCACACTTTTTCTGTGTGAAAAAGTGATCCCTCAGGTTCCTTCTGAATCTTTCCCCTCTTATGGCCTTCTAGTTTTGGACACCCCTACCTTGGTGAAAAGACCTTGGCTATTCACCTTATCTATGCCCTTCATGATTTTATAAACCTGGATAAGGTCACCTTTCAGCCTCCTATGCTCCAGGGAAACAAGTCCCAGCCTTTACAGAGATAACAAGGTGTAGAGCTGGATGAACACAGCAGGTCAAGCAGCATCAGAGGAGCAGGAAGGCTGATGTTTCCGGCCTAGACCCTTCTTCAGAAAAAAAAAAATTTAGGGGTCTAGGCCCAAAATGTTAGCCTTCCTGCTCCTCTGATGCTGCTTGGTCTGCTGTGTTCAACCAGCTCTACACCTTGTTATCTCAGATTCTCCAGCATCTGCATCCCTACTACCCCAGCCTTTACAGCCTCTCTTAAAACTCAATCCTTGAGTTTTGATAACATAGTTGTAAATCTTTTTTGATAACAAAGTGTGGAGCTAGAAGAACACAGCATCAGAGGAGCATCAGAGGAGCAGGAAAGCTGATGCTTTGGGTTGGGACCCTTCTTCAGAAATTTTTTTTTGCACTGTTTCCTGTCTGGTAACATCCTTCCTATAGCAAGGCGACCATAACTGTATGATGTGCTCCAAATGTGGCCTTAACAATGTCTTGTACGGTCGTTACAAGATGACCTGACTCCTGTACTCAGTGTTCTGACAAGTGAAGGCAAGCATGCCAAATGGCTTCTTCATCATGCTGTCTACCTGTGAACCATGTATCTGAACCCCTAGGTGTCTCTGTTCTCCCCAAGGCCCTACCATTAACTGTGAAAGTCCTGCTCTGGTTTATTTTACCAACATGTAACACCTTGCATTCGTCTAAATTAAACTCCACCTGTCATTTCTCAGCTCACTGGTTCGGTTGATTGAAATCTTTAGGTTACCTGTTCTTTATCTCTACTCTCAGTCTCCTAACCATTTAAAAAGTTGCCCTTCTCTGAGCATCAACTTTACTTAACAATCTGAGGAAGTTCATTCAAAAGATTATAGAATCTATGGAAATTCCCCTGTCCACCACTTTAGTAACCTCTTTGAAGGAAAACAATCTGGTACATCACACATGTCCTGCTTTTAAAAATTTATGCAGGATCCTTGCAGCAAGTAGTAAGGAAAATAGTAATGGATTCCAAGAAGATATAGCCACAGGGAGTATAAAGGAAGATGAAATTTAATACAGAAATGTCTTGGATCAAATGCATGGGGGGAGACTATGCAGACAAAATAGCACAATTTAAAGGGGTAAAAGATTTGGGTGTTGCTGCACAAATCTATTAAGATGATAAAGCACCTAACAAAATATATGGGAACTGGGTTTATAAATGGAGGCAAATTAATGGAAGCCAGTGAATCTTTTAAAAAAAACCACTGGCCTGCCCCAGTTGAACTCCCCACTTGTGGAAAGACATGAACTTTTAAAGAGAGTACTGAATATCTTTACCAGATTTGTTCCAGAGGTGAAGGTTATAGTTTCATTGGTAGACTGGAGAAGCAAAAGAATCAGATGAAGCATTGAGAAAAATAATTTTTACACAGTGTCTGGGTTTGGGATTAATAATGCTTTTCTTGATACATGCTGGATCGTAGTCTTTAAAAGGGAATTAGATTAATATTTTAAGTTGAAAAAGAATTTCAGGACAATGGACAAAGAGCCTAGGAATGAGGCCAATTTTGCTATTCTACGAATGAGTTGATACAGACTTGATGGGCCAAATGGCTTCCTTCTGTACTCTGCTATCTTGTTCTTATAGTTCTTTTTTCTATGTTTCTACATAGGATTGGAAAGCCAAGAACAGAGAGATGACTATCTGAAAGCAAGGGAGCTTCATGAATTTGGAATGTGATATAATCTGTGAATTTATACAGTTGCCATATTTTGTACAAAACCCAATTCTTGCAGAATTTTATTCGTGTAACTTGCAGACTGTTTGACAATGTGGTTGCAGGTGTGAAGGAATAGGTCTATGGACATATTTCTGAAATAAAATTTGTATTAAATTCAGTGCCTGTAAGTAATCAGTTGGTGGACTGATAATAACCACAATAATAGCAATATTGCAGTATCTTAGCTATGATCTACAAGGTATGTAAATTACAGTGTCAAGAAAATTAACATATTTGAAAAAGCCAACTTCATTCTGAGATAATGGCTTTTCTCCCCCTAACCAATGATGTAAGTTGGGCATGTTCACAAATGTTCTACTATATAATTGGGGGACGTAGAATTTTTAAACAACAAATCATACCTCAATAACAAATTTTCATACTCTTATAGTTATGAGAATTCAATTGTTTTAACAAAACACACTTGGAATGGTTGATTATATTTTATATAATCCAAAGCATAATTGCAGGAGAATTAGGAAAGTTTTGGCATGATGGCATTTAGAAAAATCAATATATTTGGCATGGTAGGGATGTTAGGGATTCCGAGCCTGTATACTCCAGGCCTGCTGCATCCTTCTCTCTCTCTCTGTTTCCTTTTCCATCTTTCTCTTTCTGTTTTCTTTCATCTTCCGACCTTGATCATCGTGGGTAGCCAGAGCAGTATCAGAGGGTTGTTGGCAGTGGCTGTGGAGCTTGGTGCCTGGGCTGGGTCTGCGGTAGGCCTACAGTGGGGGCAGATGAATCGTCGGCTGTGGCGGTGCTCAAAGCTTGGTGGGTCGTCGGAATGTGGCGTGGACTTGGGCGAGGCACGGCGTGGATTGGCCGCGAGCTCCCGGCGCGGACTGGAAGCAAGTCTACGCAGACAGGAGGCGAAGCCCAGGATGGACTGGAGGTGAGGCCCGCGCAGTCTGCTTGAAGGACTGTAATACTGACATTTTTATTTCTTTGTTTTTCTCATTTATTCCTGAGATTGTGTACTTTAGTAACTTTGTACCTAAGATGGCGCAATAAGTGGCAAATTTGTAAACTTTTCACAGCAGTCATGTGAGGACATGTGACAATGAACCTAATTCTAATATTTGATTAAGCAGAATGAAGTGTCAAAAGAAATTATACATTGGAGACAATGGTCAAGCAATTGAGATTCTCTCAGCATTACAATGAAACTACAAATAAGCTGAGGTGAGTAGTCTTTTATTTCACTTTGACAGTAATTGACTCGTGCTATGGCTGATTTAACATCACTGAAAGGAAACTAACAAGAAGACACACATATTTAAAGAACAGCTGACAGTGGAGCTGCTCAGGCCAGATGTATTTAACGGTTCAGTCAAACCACAACGTCATAATCACTGTATGCTAAAAGTCAAATTCTATGAATCTACACATTTAATTTCTCAGAACATCTGAAATTTCAACCATAAACGCTTGATTATTTGTCCACTGACTGTAACTTGAAGGTTGTATGAAAAGCCAGCTGAAAATCTTAAAAGATTCTGACAAGTAAGTAATGTCAACTGACACATATTTGATTGACTGGGTGGGAACTGTCTGTGCTACATCAACTGTACGTTTATTGATTTCAAGTTGGCTGATTTTGATTAATTTCCGTGAATAATTGTTCCTATTCTGTCTCTGCTTTCATTTATTCTTAATGATGCAAGAACTGTGATATTAGAAAATACTCTTTATGCACTCTGATGAAATGTCCAATCCTGAAACTTAACTTGAATGTTAACTTTGAAATGTAACTTTTTTTCTGAATATAGAACTCTATTGGCTACATTTAAAACTTTAATTTGAAGAAAACCTCTCCCAAAGAACTGATTGAAAGCTCTCAGCTGATGTTTCCTGTGGTACGTGTACTGTGGAATGATGCAATTTCACTTACTGGGAATCTGTTGGATCTTGTGGACGACTACAAATGCATCTGACAGCCCCACTTTGACTGGGTGGTTCGCTGAGTTTATCTGTATCACAGGAACAGGAATCTGGACAATACAAGGATCAATATATGTAGGATAAATTCCAATTCTTCAGGCATTTCAAAGTGCAGCTATTATCTATTCACTGTTTACTGATCACAGGTAATTATACTGGAATAAAACATTCCTTGTGGAATACAAAACATCTCAAGTTGTAAACCTAATTGAGTATTTCAATTGCAGTTACTTTCAGAAATCACTGCCAGAGGTAAAGAAAAAATACTACAATTCTGAACTATTACATGCATATAAATCACATCCTACTTCAGAATCAGCCATGTTCAGCTTTCACTTAGGAGGGAATGATTGATTCAATTTATAAATAGCTACTTTCTGCAAAATAAATGCATTGAAATACTGCTGATAAAATATGTCACAAATGGTGATTATTAAAATGGATTAGCCATCTTCAATGCAAAATATGAGTAATAACACTTTTCCACCTATCTGTATATTTAGTTTTGATAAATATTTATAGATACTATCTTTTTCTTGAGATTTGGAATGGAATAAGTTGTGAAGACATGTCAGTTTATTTTGTAAGAATCCATTACAGTGTTGCAAACTGGATGAAAGAATGGTTTAAAATCTCAAAATGTACAAGAGTGATGTGATATTCTTTGTTGTGGCAATAGAACAGGTCTCCTGCTTTTTATTTATTAACTTGCTCCTCCGGGACTTTCCTTGAAAATGGAGAAGAAAATTAATGTTTCGACTTTATCACCCCTTGTCATCACTGCTTCAGATATGATAAAGTGAGGAACGTCCTTTACAGACATCCAATGTCATAGCAAAAGAATGTTCACCATGTGAATAATAGAGCATCTTTTAAATTTAACTTCATCACAGCCAGAGTGGGTTACAAGATCTGAGAATTAACTTGTGCCTCTCCTCATCCATTCCCACTCTACAAGACAAATAAGACGCAAGCCATAGGGTGAATGACACCAAACAAAGGAAAAACTTTAATTTGTCCAAATCTACCTCAAAATGAAAGAATTGCTTCTCCATACTGACCTGACATTGCCATCCTTTTTGTGAGGTTAATTAAGTAACCTCCATCAGGGCATTCAACATTTATACTATGATTACTAATATAGAATGTAAACTAGCTGGAAAACTTACTTCTTTATAAGCAAACACAATCCGTCCATCATTATGCAGTGTGGCCTGGAACGTGAAGCTCCCTAAATCGTAGTTATCTTGTAGGCGGACATTATCCCACTGTACAACCAGAGCAGTACCTGCACATACAGAAAATGCATAATAGAACAAATAAAACCACGTTGATATGTAGAACCTTCAAGCTAATCTGCTGAGCAATACTGCTGCCTCGCAAAGGGACATGCTTTGTCAGAAAAACAACTGACTCGTTGACCATTTTATGCACTTACAGTATTTTGGATGGTACAAGTTTTCCATTTCTTTCACTACAGAATGTAAGGTCAGTAAATTCACAATATTTCATTAGCTGCAGCTGAAAGAAATGAAAGAACTCCTGCTATAACTTTGTCAGAAATAGTGGCAAAAATGACCATTTACAACATTTCTGGGAGTTTCTGCCAACAGTCCACCAAAGGTGAAGTTAATGATGAGAAGAGTCCCTGTGAAAACTGCTACTGAATATCTGGTAGCGAAGCACCACATGGTCGTGGAGGAGGAAGGTACAGTACTGCTTCCACAGAACTGCAACGCAGAATCAGGTGCTTTAGACCAATTTGTATTTGCTTCTGTTTGTCCTCTATATGAGCAATAATCTTAATCACACACAGGCACTCTGCTTCCACATCCTCTTTCCCTCCTGTTTTTAACTATTTCCCTGAAATATTCTAAAATATTGACATGGTCAGTGCTCCAAGCACTAACTCTTCGATCCTGTGGAGTTTCTTTAATCTGAACATTTGGACATTGCTGGCAGGGCCATCACCTGTTGTTCATCTCTAATTGTCCTTGGAAAGGTGGCTGAAGGTTGTTTCCAGAACTTGGGTTGCTGTCTGTTTATTGAAGGCACTCTCACTCTGCTGTTGAGAGGGAGTTCCAAGAATTTGTATAGCAACAATGATATAGTTCCAAGTCAGGACATTCAGCTACTTGGAGAGAAGCTTTCAGGCAGTCGTATTCCTGTGTGCATCTTGTCCTTGTCCTTTTAAGTGGTAAAGGTTAAAGGTTTGTGAGGTGTTTTTGAAGAGGCCTTGCTGAGTTGCCACAGTGTATCCTATAGATGGTACTCACTGTGACTGTGCTGAAGAGGGTGAATGTTTAAGGAGGGTGCAATGCTGATCGAGTGGGCTGCTTTGTCCTGGACAGTGTCAAACTTCTTGAGTGTTGTTGGGGCTGCTCTCATCCAGGCAAGTGGGGAGTATTCCATCACACTCCTGACTTGTGCCTTCCAGGGTGCATAAGATTTCTGGAGTCAGAAAGTGAGTTACTCGCTTCAGAATTCTCAGCCTCTTCCTTCTTGCTGCCAGAGTATTTCTGTGTCTGGTCTGGGAATTTAATGATGAAAGATTCAACAATGATAATGTCGCTGAATATCAACAGAAGGTGGTTAGACCCTTTGTTAGGGAGATGCCCATTGTTTGGCACTTGCATTGTGCAATATACTACTTGCCATTTATCATTCAGTTAGTTCAGTTTGCTGGACAGCTGGGGTGTGATGCCATCAATGTGGGTTCAATTCCAACACTGACTAAGGTTACCGTAACAGACTCTCCTCAATCTTTCTTTATGCCTAAGGCATGGTGACTCTGAGGTTAAACTACCACCAGTTGTCTCTCTATACTGAGAGAGCAGCCCTATGGTCTGGGAGGACTATAGTGACTTTTAGTGTCTGAGAAGGTTGGTGGAACTGACCACTGTTCAATCAACAGTAAACATCCCCAGTTCTAACATAAGAATAGAGACAAAGTCATTAATGAAACAACTGAAGATGTTTGGGCCTAAGATACCATCCAGAGGAACTACTACATCAATGCCCTTAGACTAACATGACTGGCCTCGAACAACCACATCTATCCTTCCTTGTTATGTATAATTCCCAGGGTGACAGAACAGTTTCCTCCCAAATCTCACTGGTTTCAATTCTGTGAGGGCTCCTTGGTGCTACACTTGGTCACATGCTGCCTTAATGTTAAGGGGAGTCATCCTCACTGCTCTTCTGGAATTCAACTGTTTTGTTCACATTTGGACCAAGGTTGTACTGAGGTCAGAAGTGCAGTGGTCTGTTTGATGTCAAATTGGGCATTTATGAGCAATGTTCCCTCTAAAGTACTTGCAGGTGTAGTCATAAACTCATCCGGCAAAATATGCACACTGAAATGTTCTGAATATTCCACTGAGTTTGAGTGGAGTGAGGCTGAGCATCAATCGCAAGTATAACAGCATAAGCAGTTTGATAAAAGTGAGAAATGTGCACCTCTGTTTGGAGGAGCTACAAGTACAGGAGAATGGAAATATTTGATTGCAGGAGCAGCAAACAGTGCAGGAAGGGATTTCCTTGTTTTCCACTCCTGGCACGTAAGCATTACTGGCTGGGCCAGCATTTCTTGCCCATCCCTTGTTGCCCTTGAGAAGGTGGTGGTGAGCTGCCTTCTTCAACTGCTGCAGTCCATGCACTGTAGGTTGACCCACAATGTCATTAAAAAGTGAATTCCAAGGTTTCGACCCAATGACAATGAAGGGGCGGTGATATATTTCCAACTCAGGATGGTGAGTGGCTTGGAGGGCAACTTGCAGGTGTTGGCATATCCAGGTATCTGTCGCTCTTGTCCTTCTTGATGGAAGTAGTTTTGGCTCTGGAAGGTACTGTCTGAGAACATTTGGTGAATTTCTGCATTGCATCTTGTAGATAGTACACACTGCTGCGGCTGAGCATCGTGGTGGAGGGACTGGATTTTTGTGGATGTGGTGCTAATCAAATGGGTTGCTTTGTCTTGGATAGTGTCAAGCTTTTTGAGTGTTATTGGGGCTGTACTCATCCAGGCAAGTGGGGAATATTCCATCACACTCCTGACTTGCGCCTTATGATAGATAGTCTATAAGGAGTCGGGAGGTGAGGTACTCACTGAAGTATTCCCAGCCTTTGCCCTGCTCTCATAGTCACTGTGTTTATATGGTGAGTCCATTTGAGTTTCCAGTGAATGGTAGCGCTGGGGATGTTGATATTGAGGGATTCAGTGATAGTAACACCATTGAATGTCAAGGGGTGATGGTTAGACTGTCTCTGAGTGGATATGGTACTTGCTAGGCTTTTGTGTGGCATGATTATTACTTGCCACTTGTCAGCCCAAGCCTGGATATTGTCCAGATCTTGCTGCACTTGAACATGGACTGTTTCAGTATCTGAGGAGTCATGAATGGTGCTGAACATTATGCATTCATCAGCAAACATCCCCACTTCTGATCTTATGATGGAGGGAAGCTCATTGATGAAGGAGCTGACAATAATTTGGGCCTAAGACACTAACCAGAGGAACTCCTGCAGATATGTCCTGGAGCTGAGATGACTGACCTCCAGAAACCACCACTATCTTTCTACGTGCCAGGTATGACTCCAAACAGCAGACAGTTTCATCCCTGATTCCCACTGATTCCAGTTTTGCTAGGGCTCCTTCACGCCCCACTCGGTCAGACGTGGCCTTGATGTCAAAGGCTATCACTCTCAACTCACCTCTGGAATTCTGCTCTTTTGTCCATGTTTAAACCATGGCCATGATGATGTCAGGAGCTGAGTAGCCCTGGGAGAACCCAAACTGGGTGTCACTGAGCAGGTTATTGCTGAGTAGATGCTGTTTGATAGCACTGTTGATGACACCTTCCAACACTTTAATGACGATCGAGAGTAAACTGATGGCATGGTAAATGGCTGGGTTGGATTTGTCCTGCATTCTATGTTCGGGACATACCTGGGCAATGTTCCATATTGTCAGATAGACGCCAGTGTTGTAACTGTACTAGAAGACTTGGCTAGGGGTGCAGCAAGTTCTGCAGCACAAGCCTTCAGCACAATTGCCAGAATGTTATTAGGCCCCAAAGCCTTTGTAGTATCCAGTGCCTCCAAATGTTTCTTGATATCACAGTGAATCAAATTGGCTGGTATCTATGATGCTGGGGACCACAGGAGGAGCCTGTGATCTGTGATTAGAGACTCAGTGTGCACGCAGGGAGAAAGGTAATTGGTGATTGGAGACAGTGTGCACACCGGGAGAGAGAGGGAATCTGTGATTAGACAGTGTGCATGCTGGGAGAGAGGGAATCTGTGATTAGAGACACAGTGTGTGTGCTGGGAGAAAGAGGGAATCTGTGATTAGACATTGCATGTGCTGGGAGAGAGAGGGAATCTGTGATTAGAGTCACAGTATGCATGCTGGGAGAGAGGAGGAATCTTTCTTTGGAAGAATAGCAAGCCAGAATAGGAAAGAGGGAGCTGATCAGCAACATAAGGACTCTGAGACCCAGCAAAGAATGAGTTTCAGAAAATGAGAGTATTCCAATTTATCAGTCAAACATTGGGAAAATACCCTAGCAGCTGGTAAGTCTGTTAAAGGGAGAGGAGATGCTGATTTGAATGTAAGAAATACAACTCACAGAGCATCAAGTTGTCAGCCCTGGATTTGAGCAGGACATAGGAGTGCTCCCCACTTAGTAGTTTGCAATGGCCCAGGCGCCAAAAGATAAACATCAAGGTCATAAATCCACCATGATTCATTCCAGCCAGATAAACACGCACAGCCGCGGATGAAGTTGATCAATGGATATAACCTCAAAGAGCATCAAATGCTTTTGGGCCTGCAGGTTTATGATGCACATTGAGTTATTGATTGTCTATATGGACTGTATCAAACAAGCATCTAGGTTTAATATTTGCTTTGACACATACCTGTATATCAGACAGGTTCACTAAATCCATCTATGTTAATGGATAATGGATGTGATATCAGATTATTTGAGTTTTATTTCACTGTTTGACATGATGAATTAACTTTTAAGATTATTTTTAATCTAAGTGTGGACTTTCAAGCCGTGTGTTTTATCTTGTGCTTCATTTACTGTCCTGAAAGAATGATCCCTTGGGTCAGGAAAGGGGACTGATGAGTCCAGATGTGGGCCATGCGAGTACTGATAAAATGGATGGATGTGAGAGCAGCTAGAATGGGGTTGGGTGGGGGTGGGGTGATGCCGGGGGGGTTGGTGGGGTGGGGACAGCCTGAAGAGATGGAAATACAGCAAGTGCAGGGCCATAAGTTAGAATGGGAGATGTGAGAATAAAGGCAAAATAGGCTATGCAAGAGAAAGTGGAATAAGACATAGGACAAGTGAAAGGTTTACTTAGAAAGAGACAGAGAATAAGACATGTCTGAGTAGGAGAATGGGATGTGTGAAAGAATGTGTAGAATTGCACATGTGAGATAAAGTAGTATAGAATCAGTGATGACAGCAAGAACAGAACCTGTGAGAGTAAGAGGTGAGGCAGAATGGTTAGTGTGAAGAGAGGGTTAGCCCTTTTCTGTGCTGTGGACCACCATGGCTTTATGATATATTTGCCTTCTCAACAATTTTTAAATGTGGTACTAACCACGTAGCTGTTAACTGAATTTAAATTCTCCAGTTACTGTGATAGGATTTTACCTTATGTTCCTGGATGTCATCAGTCTCGGCCTCTGGATTTCTAGTCCAGTAACATAACCAGAATGTGACAGTGTTGTAGTGGTGGTGCCAATGAAGGTGAAGGAGAGATGGTTGGGCCATTTCTCAGGTGACATGGTTATTAGATAACGCTTATAGTATCTGTCACTTTTCAGTCGATCCTGGAAGTTGTCAAAATCTTGCTGAAGGCTGGCATGAGGTGCTCCATTATGAGAAGAGTTGCTTATTAATACTGCAGCATTATCTGCATATAGTACACTGTACTATTGACAGTGGCTCATAAAAATTATTGGTTTTTCTTTCGCAATATTTCAAGGAAAACAGAATGAAAAGCATTAGCAGTAAGACTACTGGACTGTAAACATAAGCAACAATTTGCAGATTACAACCTAACCCATTATCATAGGCTAAAAAGTGTTCAGAATTATCATTTAAATGTATTTGTCATTACCTGTTCAATTATTCATCCAATTTAAACCCAAAGCCCCTCTAAATAATTTCTAATAATATTTTAGGGAAGAAACAACGAGTATTTTTGAGGTTTAAGTTATCCTGCAAAATGTTTCAATAAAATTAATACTCACCGTTGTCGAAGTATCGAACAGTTGAATTCCTAGACACACTTGGGTCAAAATTAGCCATTAGTGGTGCGATGTACTGAGTAGCTGTTAACATACGGTGCACAACTTCCCCAGTGTAGATAAATCCTAGAGGACAGAATATTCTATGAAACTAGATCCAATATCCAATAAAACTGAAATTAAGTCTTGTAAGTAGTGTAACTCAAATTGAACAACTAATTCACCAGCTGTGCTTTCCATCAAAGAAATAAAAACCTTGAAGCAAATGATGACATAAAAATTACTACAGAGAAACAGGCTGTTCAGCATAATCAGTCTGTGCTGATGTTTATCCTACATGCAAATAGTCCAAAGCCCATGTATATGTCCTGTTCCCATATCCCTTCATTCATCTATCCTTCAACTATCGTAATCATCCAAGAAAAGTGATGATCTCGTAAATAAGTTCAGAAAAACTTGAGTCCACAGAACTCAGAAGCAACCAGGTATACTTCATGCCACTTCAGCAAGTTGGAGTTGAATAGACATTTAAACCTCTCCAACATATAAACAAGGAGCAAGAGTAGGTCATTAATTGATCCTGCTCCACCATTCAATAAGATCATGTCTGATCTTATTGTAATCTCAAATCCACATTCCTACCTAGCTCTAACAACCTTCTTTGTTTTGATTTGCTTGTCCTTATATCATGTCATAAAGTCAACACAGGAGGTCAGACAAACTAGACTGCAGAGAGCAAGCGAGTATGGATCAGGCATTGATAAAACTTTTGAGTATTGAGCTACAAACATGAGGATAACAGTTTGATGATGGCAACAGAGTGAGAGTCAGACAGAAACAGATATGTGGTCAGAAAATAGACAGTGAGAGATGTAGTCTGGAACATAATTAAATCAAACTTCCAGTCGGATGAGAGAGCCTAAAGTGGGTGAGAACCTCATCAGATTGGACATTTGGAAGCCAGTTCATTAAATAACATTAATGCCCTATGTAATTTTACACGGCAACAAATTGCAAAGCAAAATCTGAAAAATCATCAATAGAAATTTAGCATCATAGCACCAATGATCTCAAAATATCTTGTTAACTCTATTTTTATCAATATTTCACAGTTGTCATCAAGATGATTTACCATCACTGGTCTAGAACTAAACTTCATACAAATTGTTATAAAGACAAATGAACATATGAGCAACACTCAAAAATACCCATTATATCACAATTGAGGGGTCAAACAAACCACAAGTCAATTAGTTTACTGTTTGGAATTCAGGTGCCAGGTCATAAAATTAATTTAAAACCTCTGGCTTCAAAACATTTGCGCAGGAAGTAAATCATCTCAAAAAGGAGGAATGAAGAATGTTCATTGTCAGCCACCTTATTCAAAGTTGACTTCAATAGCTATTTCTGAATGAACTGAGGTATTTGATTTCACAGTATTTATATGTCAGTTGACTTACAATAAAGTCACCTTGCTTAACAGCAAGCTTGCGTAGATGAGCACAGTATTGTGGTTTCTCATACTCAGGAAGTGACAGCAAAAGTCTTTATTAAAATACAAAGAATATATAGGTGCTCTTGCACGTAGCATTATGAAGTACTGACCGTTCCAATTATTGGTATCTATTGGTACCTGGAAGAGAGAACTCAATGTGTATGAGAACTTCCACCTGGACATAATCCTTTAAAATAGCACAATGAACTTTCTTGGGCTCCTTGCCTCTAGTAAAACAGACTAATTCCCTGCCCACTGCCATTCTCAGCTCAGCTTCCTAGGATGTTACAAAAAAAACTGAAGGTGAACTACCAGAATGACATTTCATTTTTCCACTGGGGAGTTGATAGTCTTTTGGACAAAACATGGTCATTGTCAGCAGTGCCTCGATTTGTGGATAATATCTGCTCAGGGCCATGGAACTAAACAGGCCCATTCTTAACCCACAGATCTTTGGGAAAAAGGGGTAGAGAGTCCCGTGAGTCAGTGGGATCTGGAATGCAGGATTTTCCACCATACTGCCACATCATCAAGACATGTTGACTCAAAGCATCATACAGCTTGATGGACAGGTTATCACCATTCTGAATGACTGGTAGCCAGCTCCTCTGAGTCACTTATGTCAATGCTGCTGCACTTCAGAGTCCTTCAGCATATCATTAGTTTCTTTGTCCTCGCTGGCCACTTGTGAATTGAGACAACAGGACATGGTGGATTGACTCTTTTCAGCCATCAGGATACAGTGTCTGGTCCACCGTAATTAATTTTATCGACGTTTTGCCTGGAAGCCTGAAAAGCAGGCCATAACCTCTGCCCTTACTTACAACCTTATAAAAGTGACACATGTTTGTTGCTGACTGAACCGGCAGATAGCGTGATAATTCTACTATTATATACTTCCACTCGACTTGTCTTTGGTTTTTCACTTGTACCAGTTCTTTTGCTTTACACCATCTTCCTCACATCACTTAATCTGTCCTGCCTTCCACTCCAGCCAAGTAAGGCTGACACAACAGTTACACTGGGTACACACACACAGTCACGCAAACAGCAGTGAGATAATAAGCAGATAATCTGTTAGGAAATGTTTATTGCAAAAATCCTTCCATCACAATGGCACTCACGTTTCAGTCAGCAACAAACATGTGTCACTTTTATAAGGTTGTAAGTTCAGTTATCAGTGGAGAGACTTGAGCATAAACCCAGAACCACACTTCAGTGCAACATTGCAGCAATTTTGTGTTGTTGGTGGTACCATACTTCATATGAGATGTGAATTTGGAGTCACATGCAATCATAACACCAGGAGGCATTGGAGCAGAAGTAGGCCATTGGTCCCAGAGTTTGCTCTGCCCCTTTCCTGTCCTTTCCCCATTACCTTTATTTCCCTTATTGATTAAAAATCTGTCTATCTCAGCCTTGAATATACTTAGTGACACAGTCTCCACAGCCCTCTGTGGTAAATTTGTAATTTTTACAAATTCATCACCCTCTGAGAGAAGAAATTTCTCTTCATCTCTGTCTTAACTGGGTGTGACCCCTTACTATGAGTTATACTGTCTGGTTCAAGACTCTCTACCAAAGGATAACAACTTCTACACATCTACCCTATCAAGTCCCCTAAGAATCTGATCTATTTCAATAAGGTTGCCTCTTATTCTTCTCAACATCAATGAGTTCAGACCCAAGCTACTCAGCCTCTCCTCATAAGACAGTCCCTCCCCGCCCTGGATCAACCTTGTGACATTTTGTGGACTGCCTCCAATGCCAGCATATCTTTCTTTAGGGTGGCACAGTGGCTCAATGGTTAGCACTGCTGCCTCATAGCTCTAAGGGACTCTGGTTCAATTCCACCCTTGGGCGACTGTCTGTGTGGAGTTTGCACATTCTCCCCATGTCTGTGTGGGTTTCCTCCTGGTGTTCCGGCTTCCTCCCACAGCCCAAAGATGTGTAGGCTAGGTGGATTGGCCATGCTAAATTGCCCATAGTGACCAGGGATATGTAGATTAGGTGGGTTATAGGGGAATGGGTCTGGGTGGGATGCTCTGAGGGTTGGTGTGGACTTGTTGGGCTGAAGGGCCTGTTTCCAACCTGTAGGGATTCTATGATAAGGAGACCAAAACTGTTCATAGTATTCTAGATTTATGCTCAAGTCAATATTAAAAATATTGTGGCATTATTTCAAAGATCCAGAAACTGCTCACTAGTACACCGGCCAATATTTATACCTCAAACAACATCAACAGTGGAGAAACTTGAGCATAAACCCAGACCCACACTTCAGTTCTTTGTTCTTTCTTATACATAGCTGTGTGTAAATTGGATGATACATTTCCTGAATTACAAGTGACTACGGTGATGCACATTCAAACCCCTCAGAGAACTAGTAGGACATCAAATTAATGAGACACATGTCTGCTTATTCGAAAATAACCTTGTTTCTGATTTTGCAGCAAACAAGCAGTGTGAAATAAGTTTGGATTCTGTACTTCCCCAGAATAAGCACTCTATCTGAGGGTCTGAATTTGGCAGTGAGACTAAAGGTTGGTGCAGAAAGTAGGTGCTGCTCTTGTTCAGCGGACCAAACGCAGGAACTGTACTGCCGCTTCCCAAGATGGGAAACCAGGCTAATGCTGAGGTAGGAGGTGGTGCCATACTGAAGGTACTGTCAATATTGTATTCCTGAGGAGATCACCACATCTCCCCCACAACCCACCCCCAGCATAAGAGTTGTGTCTCTTCGTAATGATTAAAAGTTCTTCCTCCTTTTGACTCCAGAAGGAGACACAGCACACAACAAGAAAAGAAAAGGCCACATACCTTTTTATCTTTGTCCCCACGGAGGGGGAGTTGGCAAAACATGAGGGTGACCATGTGAATGCTGATGCCAAGGTCGGTGTATACATCTAACAGGCTGAGAGAATGAGCCAATGCACAAGGATATACCTGGCATATTGGTAGACACAAAGGTCTATACACACACACTATATATTATATATAATGTATTAATATATTGTTTTATATATGTGTATATATATATGTAAATAAAACTATATATTAATACATATATATGTTGGGTATAATTACAACATTTAAAAAGATATTTGGACTGTTACATGGATGGGAAAGGTCTAGAGGGATATGGGCCAAAGCCAGGCAAATGGGACTGGTTCAGTTTAGGAAACCTGGTTGGCATCGACAAATTGGGGTGGAGGGCCTGTTTCCACGCTCTATGACTCTAGTTAGTGAATGTCAGAGATGTACAAAGACCTGCATGTCATCACCTTCATTGTGAGCCCCATACAGTATGAGAAGGATGTATGAAGATTGTGATACATGGAGTTTCCAGGAGACCCCATCCGTCTCAGGTGAGCAGGGATGTACGAGTGTGCACGGACAAAAGATCAGCTATCGTTTGCTCCTAGGGCTCATCTCTGGACACTTCTGGTACATGCTGTCAGAGAAGGCTCTTGCACTTGTGAAGCAAGCCCTGAGCATGCTGGATCCCTCCAAGCCTCAGGGAAGCAAAGGACAGTTGTCAAAGTCATCTCACCTATGGAACAGCACGATCAGCAGTCTGCCTCCAGCTCAGCCGCAACAGCAAGTATCCCACCTCGTGGGGACATTTGTA